GTGTGAACTCTGGCAGGCTCATGCTGCATAGGTGCTCGCCGCTGACGTCGAACTCCTGGAAGGGGATGCAGCTGGCATCCAGCTGGTTGGTGTCCAGGAGGTGCTGCAGCCACTCCCACACCTGGTACTTGGTCCAGTACTGAGGGTGGATTTCGTGCCACTGGCCTCCGAAAAACCCGCTGGGAACTGCAAAACATGAGGGGCCCCGTGAGTTACCCTGGGCGTGGACTCAGACCCAGGGACCCAGGCCCGCTGCTGGGTGTCGTGGGGAGCACAGCTGCGGGCCACGGGCCTTAGTGTGGAGTCGGAGCGGGAGACGGCTCTGGGCAGAGGCTCACAGAAACCTGGCTTTCCCCCCTATCATGGCGGGGCAGCCCCTCGGCCTCTGTCCCTCTGCACATCCCTGGGTGTGGGTGGACACGAGGTCTGAGCTCCTGCCCTCCTCCCCAGACTTCAGGTGGCTTCGCTGTGACCGCCAGCTCACCGTCCATCCTCCTGCTGTCTGCCTCCCGGTGCATGTCCGTCCCCCACACGCAGCTCAGACCTTCTCCATCAAAAACAAAGCCCACGATGAAAGCCAGCTTCTCTGTGACGCCTCTGCAGCCCTGGGTGGTCCAGATTACCTACTCCGCATGTCCCCACTGTCCAGACCGGCTCCTGCACGTTTACTTGTGTCTCCCGAGACAGAGAGAAGGAAAGGGGCAGGGCCCTCCCGTCAGGCCCCTCCTGCTGCAAGGCCCCTGCCCCAGCCCAGGGGGGCACGTGTTCCTGCCTGGACAGCCCAGACCTGCCCATGAGGCCCCCTGTGCCGCCCTCGCCCACCCCTCAGCCCCGGCCACCACAGTGCTGTGACCTCACATAGGGACCCTATGGGGTCTCCTGCCAGGAATCAGCTGTGGGACTGTCCCCAGGCATGGGGACTGTTCACAGACTTGTCGCCTAGCCTGAGCTTCATCAGCATCTGCCTCTCACTCCTACCCTCCTGCCAAGTCCCTAGTCCTCATTCCGGCTCTGACACTCCATCAGGCGCCACCCCAACACCACAGGACTCCGTGCCCCAGACCTACGGGACACCCTCCAGGTGGGTCTCCAGGGGCTGCCTCCCCCTTCCTACAGGCTGAGGTCGCAGCAGCTCCCCGTCTGCGCATCTCGGGTGACAGGGGACACCCTCTGCACACCACTTGATGGAACCGGCTCTGAGAACTCGTGCAGGCACATGGGGGTCGCAAGGCACTGTCGTCAGAGGGTGACTCAGAGCCCCGTGAGGAGTGACATTCCCCCGTTTCCTACGGAATGCTGAGCCCGGGTGCTGTCCAGCCCTGGGGCTCTCTCCGGCTTGCCTAAGGGCACATCACAGTGACCCCAGAATGTGGGGGTGGAGGCGAGAGAGCCAGCCTCGGGGCCAGTGCTGGGGAGATCTGGCCTCCCGGAGACAGCGCTGTCTCCCTGGAAAAGGAAGGGCTGGGCAAGGGGCAGGGGCCCGGCCTCCCAGCAGGCTGGCGGAGGGACACCCAGCGACTGCAGTGCCATGCAGCCCGGTGCAGACCTTGGAGCAAACGAACTGCAGGGGGACCGCCCCTCGCCTTCCCTTCTAGGTCCTGCTGGGCCCACGCTCTGCGGTCCCGACAGGCCGATTCGCTAGTCTGGGATGGGACCAGGGGTCCGCATCCCAACCAGCTTCCACGTGAGGGTTGTGCTCCAGCTCCATGGGGCGACGTGACGCCAGGGGCTCAGGAAGATCAGGCCCCTCTGACCCCAGCCTGGCCCTCCACAGCCCCGGAGGAGCAGCCAAGGGGTTATTTCCTGCCTAGCCCCACTTCAGTTTGTCCCCGGGAGTTTGCCCCATCCACTCCTTCCAGAACTCGGGAGCACTTAGAGAGGAGGTCAAGATTATTCAGTGGGAACCAGCAGGTGGCGTAATGGCTATGTCGCTGGACTCCCATGGAGTCAGCGGCGGTTCAAGTCCCGGACCCGGTGGCTTAAACTCACACCGGGCACATGTGCGTGCGTGCCCACGATCCCGAGAGGAGAATGGAGGAGAAGGGATTGCAGCATGGCCATCCCCCCTGGGGGGTGATTTCTTGCTTTCTATCTCTCTGTCTCTCTCTGTCTCTTTCTGTCTGTCTGGTGAGTGCATGCGCCCTATAGCACGAGCACCTCCAGAAAAAGATTACTCAGTGCACAGAGGTGACTGCCATTGGTGACACTGGCTACTCACGGTGCAGGTCACTCTTCAGGCCACACGGCTGAATATGCATGGCCCCCAGCCCTCAGCTTGGGCCCTAAAGAAGAAGCCAACAGCATGTGTAAGTGTGTGCACGTGTGTGAGTGTGTGCACATGTGTGTCCGAGGGAGTGGGTGGGGAGGACTAAGCCCTGGAGAAATCTAGTCCTCTTGGCTCTGTTGGAGAGAAATACCCCGAACACACACAGAGCTGAGCCGGGGTGCTCAGTGTCCTGCAGACCCAGCTGGCTAAGGGGGTATGTGTGGCTCCCCAAGGCTCTGCGCACTCTCTCTGTTCCACTTTTACCTTATGTCTCCCCTATGACAGAGACACAGAGAGAGAGAGACGAGCACCCCAAGCAGCGTCCCCCGCCACAGCCCCTACCCCATCTGATGTTCTCAGCCAATCAGAACCCCTGGAGTGTGCAAGCCGACCAGGGAGCACACGCTCAGCAGCGGGCCCGCGCTGCCCCTGGCCCTGAGCTGTTCTGATCTGGTTGGTTGTTTGTCTTTCTTATTTTTTTTTAAAGATATCTTTGCCTTAGGGCACGTGTGCTTGCTGGAGACAGAGACAGTGAGCGAGAAAGTGAGAAATCCCCCCAGGGGGATTGCCACACCAAAAATCCCTTCTCCACCATTTTCCTCCTGAGATCTTGGGCACGCACACACACACACCCGGTGTGAATTTCAAGCCACCGGCATGGGACGAGAACGGCGGTTGGCCACGTGGGAGTCCAGTGATGTAAGCGTTGCGCCACCTGCTGGTCCCTATTTGTTTTCCTGAATGATTGGATTGCAGCTACTGTGTAACCACCCGTGGGTCTGAGGCAGCCTCCTCTCCCACTTCACCTGATCTAGAACGCACTGCATCCTGCCAGCTCGGGGATGGGCAAAGTCTGCCCGACGCTGGCTTGGGGAGGACCCCAACGGGAGCCCCTCTGCTTCCTGAAGTGTCAGGAAAGACGTCGAGGACTTTCTCTGTCACCCAGCTGCAACAGAAAGGGTATGCTGCTATGCCCCCCTGCACACATGTACACTCTGTCCCGATCGCCCAGAGAAACACTGGTGCCCTGGGTCTCTCCCACTGCCTTCACCGCCAGACTGGAACCTCGACCTTAGGAGAGGACAGTGGGCTAGACCCCACGTGGGCTTTCGCTTGGAGCCAAGGACCTCGCCTGACTGCAGCAGGAAGGTGTTCTCCGTCCCCGCTGGCATCCCCCACCCACGGGAGAAGTGGAAGCTGGATTGTCCGTGTCCAGCTGGGGAGGAGTTAAAGCAAAGGGGAGCCTGTGGCAGCTGCCCAGCGCCCGCGTGGCCTTACCATTGCACGTGGGGTAGCCATCTGTCCAGGCTGGCTGCTGGTGGAGGAGGTTGGTGCCGGGATTGAGATTCATCACACCACTTCCTTCCAGAATCATGATCTGTAAGGGGTCGGAGAGCCCGTTCAGGTGGTGGCTCTCGGAGGAGAGCCGTCTGAGCGCGGCTCAGGTTAGTGCGTGAATAGGGAGGACAGGAGAAGGCCCCGTCCCACCCGTCGCCACCGCCCTTTTCAGTAAAAGCAAAACTCACAGCAACTGAAAATGTCCAGGTTCAACTTTCATTGCATGAGGCAGGTTTTTACAGCCACTCATTCATAAATGAATAATCTGATCAGGGACGGAGGGGAGGAGAATGCAATACCTGCTCCCAGGGTGAGTCTGGCCAACAGCCAAGATTTTTGCAAAAGTGAAAATGCCAAAGGGATTTTGTTTAAAGTGGAATTTCAATCAATGGAAACCCAAGCCGCTGGGGGCAGCCCAGCCCCCGTGTGGGAACTCTGAAACCCCACTCACGGACCCCGGTACCCCCGAGCAGTCCACCATGGCGGCTGGTGGCCGAGGGCCTCAGTAGATGTCAGGAGACCTCCGTAGTCTGGCTTTGTGGTAACGCTGGAGCAGGGGGGGTTCTGGCAGGCACCGGGCCCCG